ATTAGGTCTAGCTTCCACAAATGAGTGAAAACAAACAATATTTAGCTTCAGGAACTTGTCTTATCTCACGCAATATGATGATCTCCAATTCCAACCTTCCTGCAAATGACATTTTACTTTTCCATATGGCTGGGTCATATTCTATGGTATATACACATCTCATTTATCCATTCATTTGTTGTTGAGGCCTTGGTTGATTCCACAGCATGGCTATGCTGAAAGTAAACATAGGTGCGTGGGTATCTTTCTTGTACACTGATATATACTCCTTCAGACATATTCTCCAAATGGCATGGCAGGGTCTTAAGTCTATTTTTAGACTTTTCCACATGGAGGAACCCCCACACTGATTTCCCCAGAAGGTCAACTATTTTACATTCCCAGCAACAACATAAGAGGGTCCCACCCATATCCCCATGCATCTGCACCAAATTTGTGCTTTCTTGATGACTGCCATTCTGACTATGTTGCCTAGGCTGTACCCTTTTGTTATACTCAAGTAAGTTTCCTGGTTCAACTGCCCTCATAGCTGGGACTAAGGAGGCTCCACCATTCCTACCTATCTGTCCCTTTAAGTTTATATATTCATGGTTTCTGTGCCCCTTACCAGTTAGCAACATGTGTACAATTATTTCCACAAGCAAAGTCTGTGAAGGACCTGTGAGACAACCAGGAGTGGTTGCACATGCCTGTAATCTCAGTGGCCCGTATGCTGCTGAAAGGGGTTCATGTATTCCAGGCCAATCTGGACAACATAGTGAGATAAGAGGGAAGGAGGAAGAGGGAGGAAGGAAAAAGAACAAGGGACAGCCAAGGACTGTACTTGCTACATTTAAGTAACTTTATAGGTATAACTTGTTCCATTTCTGCAGCTTTCCATTCTGTACCTTAAGAGGCCACCAATGTTCTTTACCCATCCTTACTGACCTCAATTCAAAAAGCCATGTTTTAAGCCAGGCACGGCAAACACATCTGTGATCCTAGCTGTTCAGAAGACTGATATATCTGAGGATGAAAGTTCTAAGTCAGCCCAGGAAGTGCTCTTATCTCCAAATAACCACCAAAAAGCCCTTTAGTGGAGTTGTCACCCAATGGTACAGCACCATCCTTAAGCAAAAAAAGCTAAGGGGCAGTGCCCAGATCCTGAGTTCAAGCCCCCGTGCCACCTCACCTGCCACTAAAAAAAAAGTTTTAAATTTTCCAAGTAGATCATTGCTGGGGTTCTGGGGTGTTAGGCATGAGATCAGTGGTGTGGAGCAGGCGGTGGTGTGAACCGAGGGGAGCTGCAAGGGGTCACCATTGTGCAGGCAGGCACGCTGAGCAGTGCTCTAGGGTTCCTGTCTTCCCTCTGGAAGGAGAGACCAGGACCCAAGGACAGGGTCTCCTCTGGTTCCAGCCTTCATCTCCCCAAACGGTTTCACACCTGCTCAGTGGATGTGGCAGCAGAGAGAATACAAATTAGGCAAGAGTACAGTCCTCAAGACCAAAGTTCTAGAATAGTCATATCATATATCCTCGCCGCCGCTGAGTGATAAGACGATCAGGAGGCAGAACCAAAACCCTTTAAGGTTTAATTTTGCTTTGCTAAATCCTCTGGGGTCCTCCTCCAACTGGTGACCCCCTCCCTAGAGCCAGCCTCTAGTTTCCTCCAGCGAGAGGGCGGAGGGTGGCCAGGGTGGGCAGCACGGCCTTGGGGCCAGGGTTTGGGGCTGCAGTAAAGAGGAAGGGGCCTCCAGCCTGTCCCCGGCCTACCCCAGTCCGTCCCCAGCCAGAGCTGCGCACCAATCACGCGTCGGAGAAGCGCAGGCCGAGCGGCCACTGCCCGTTCACCGTCACAGGCTCTTCCACAGGACGGGGACGCCTCGCGAGAGCCCAGCCCGATTTCCAGGCGGAGGAAGCGCGATCAGATCCGTGCTGAGGGCTGTGAGATCAAAGGGCGGGGAGGAAGGCCAAGTGCTTAGAGGCCCATCCTGCTGGCCTTCCTGCAAAGTGGAGGAGGGTGGGCACCTACTTGGAGATAGGCCGCTGGTCCGTCTCTTTGGCTCTGAAATGTCCCGGGCGCTTTACGTACAGATGAGATTGCTGGCAGACTCAAGCCTCCCGGGACCAGGAAACGCCCACAACCGCCGAAAGCACCACTCACAGCCAGGGGCACCGCCCACACCCGCCCAAGGCACCGCCCACACGCCCTGGACACAGCTCCCAGCGGGACCAGGAAACGCCCACAACCGCCGAAAGCACCACTCACAGCCAGGGGCACCGCCCACACCCGCCCAAGGCACCGCCCACACGCCCTGGACACAGCTCCCAGCGGGACCAGGAAACGCCCACAACCGCCGAAAGCACCACTCACAGCCAGGGCACCGCCCACACCCGCCCAAAGCACCGCCCACATGCCGTAGCACCGCCCACACGCCCTGGACACAGCTCCCAGAGGGCGTCTCCGCATTCGTGGACCTGCGGGGTCCCGCCTACTCTGACTGGAGGCTAAACCTGGTGCTGGAGCGGGGGAGGGGACAGAAGAGAGGAAATCAGGAAATCCTGGGGGGGGGGGGGGGGGGACGGGGAGGGAAAGGCGGCCGTAGGGGCTTGTGGGGTCCTTGCTGTAACTCCTGTCTGTCTGGTAGTGTTGAGGTGCATTATGTCTCTTGGCCATTATGTCTCTGTATCCCGCCAGAACCTTTCGGAATTGAGAGGGGCGCGTTCTTAGAGCGTGGTCCCGAGGTGGTGTGTTTGCAGCCATTCATTTGTCTTGCTGTTGTAACCCAGTCCAGCCTAGAACTCACCATCCGTCCTTGTCTTGGCCTTCTGAAGTGCTGGGGAGGGGAGGAAAGAGTACTGTCATGAGAGCTGGATAGTTTCTGAATATTTGAGAATGAATAAAGCTATTCTAAGCAAGCCATAGATTTTAAAAAAAGGAAATCACAAACCATGCGTGGTGCTGCAGGTCTGTAACTATAGATGTAATATATACATAATATATAGTTACATGTAATATACATTATACACACATTATACATATGCATAAAAAGAATTCAGTAAGGCAGACAGCTGATTCTCACACACACATCACACGTGAAAAGATATGTATTACTCACATGATGTAAATTAAGAGCAGAATAAAACCTACACACCTACAAGAATGACTTTAAGAGGGACTGAAAACATCAAAGATTGACAAGAAAATGGAGTATCCAGAACTTTCATACTTTTAAATGCTAAAAGCACTTTGGAAACCTGTTGGTTTCTTATTAAGTTATGACCTACATAATAGGATACTCAAAACTAAAGTGAATGAACTAATTTATATGACAACGTGAATATCATTTTCTGAACAAATAAAGTTGAACACAAGAGCTTGCCTGTATGATTACATTTGCATGGAGTCGTGAACCTACAGAATTAATCCATGGGGGAAGGAGGGGCAGAGGTTGGCCAGAAATGGGAAAGAAAAAAAAATTCCTGTAATACTAGCTTCTCAGGAGGCTGAGATTTGAGGATCATGGGTCAAAGCCCAGCACCAGCAGAAAAGTCCATGAGACTCTTCTCTCCAATTAACCAACAAAAAGCTGTGGTTCAAGTGGCAGAGTGCTAACCTTGAGCACAAAAGCTCAGGAAGTGGTAGAGCACCAGCCCAAGCTAAAAAAGCTCAATGACAGCACCCAGGCCTTGAGTTCAAGCACCAGGCCTGGCACAAAAGAGAAAGGAGGGAAGGAGGGAAGGAGAGGGGATGGAGAAGGGAAAGAAGAGAGGGAGGGAGGGAAGAATTTTGAGGAATCAGATTTTTTAAAAGAAAATGATCATTATTAAGAACAAAACATAGGTCCAGAAGAGAGCATGGTAACAAACCCTTAGGACTAACCAAAGCTGATTCTTTATTCTGCTTTTCATGATATGTCACACATCTCTGGTCTTAGAAATATAGGACTCGGTTTTAAACTATGATAGGTAAGTACTTTACTTCATAAAGTTGATATAGGATCGCTTTGAAATGATCCCAGGAGTAAACATGCTACCATTTCTTCTATGCCACTTTATCTAAAGGGAATTTGAAAAGTCTCTTAACACTCAAAATGGTACTGAAGCCATTTTCATCATCATTTCCAAAATGTTGGTCATTCCTGTTCTATTCGTGTCACAGCCTCAGCGTTCAGGTTCCAAGGACTCAATAGTCAGAGTGATTTGACAGCTGGAAACACTCGCTGGAAATGGAAGACTCCAGGAACTAGTGACAAAGTATTTGTGAACCCCTAAATTTATGTTTAAATCATCCCCCCCAAGATGATGTGACCAGGAGGTAGGACTTTGGGAAGGGATTCATTCAGTCATAAAGGATGGTCTATGCCCTTTCTGCCTTGGGCAAGTTAAATCAAGAAGAAAGGCTTCATTAGACCCTGGATGCTCAAGAGCTTGATCTTGAACTTAGTAGCCTCCAGAATGGCCACCTGCTTAACAGTATTTTCTTGTTAGCAGCCTGAACAAATGAAGATACAAAGCATATCACTGTAATTGGTTTTAAACCCTTTCAGAAGCAAGGCACAACTGGAACAGATATTCACAAATATCCGTGCTTATACCCATCCTGTCTAGCTGATGTGAAAAAGATCTTGCAAAGTTACTATGAGATGATATGAAGGATGTGAACAAGAAGCATGGCATATCTGGAATTTAAAAGAATATGGAATTTATTAGGCATTAAAATATAAAAAAATAAAACCACTTAAGTAAAACGCCAGAAAGCTCCCTTTCTCCCTCTCCAGACCCTACCACCCTAACCCAATTTTTAAAAAAGAAATACGTCCTTTTGCATACACATGGCTAGCAATGACTAAAACAATGCAAAACTTCCAAAGATAGCAGATGCTCAGCTTAGGAGATTGATGAGTGCGTCAGTTGAGGCCATTTCCTTAGGAGTCACTGTTCAACCACAGCCTTCTGAGCTGGAGGCTGCTTCCTGGGACCCTTGAGCATGTGGCCTAACTCAAGCTGCTGGATGGAAGTCAGCTATCCGACTCCCTCAGGGCATCCTCTAATAGTCTCTCTATGCGATCCTGTTTCTGCTCCTCTAGCACCAGAAGAAACCGTCTCACACCTACAGGGTCCAAATGGAGAGAGAGAAAGAAACACTTAGTAAGTTGGCAGGTAGGGCTTAGACCTACCCAGATCATGGTAGACTATTAGAGCTAAACACTGGTCCTCCTTTTTCAGGATAGATTTCCAAGTCAACCTGTTTTATCCCCTTCACCCTCATGCTTCCTTTCAGATTAGTCTACGAGACATTTCAATGTTTCCTATCAAATCCTACATCCCATCTCTGTTTGCCTCATAACTCCATCACTTGATCTGTTTTCTATGTGATGTTTTGAGATAAGGTTTGACTATATTATATAGTCCCTGCTGATCTCAAACCTTCAATCCTCCTATCTCAGCCTTTCAAGGGCTGGGATTACAGGTATACACCATCATACCCAGTTTTTACTCAACCTATTTCCCACTCTAGATCAAAAGATGTTTCCCCAGTATAAACCTTCATGAGGAGGAATAGGGGCTCATTGCTATGTTCCCAGAGAATAAAAGTATCTAGCATGCAATGAGATGTAATAATGATTTTAACTTTTGGTTTCTTCATAGCCTTCTGAGCTCCATTAGCATCAACACTGGGAACTGCCACAATCATTTATCTACCTTGCCTACATCCACCTACAAGGGTAGAATACTACTTCTCATTAGCTCATGTTCCCAGTGCCTCACTCTGTGGCAGGTACAAAACCAGTATCAGGCTAGGAGCCTGAGGTACCGATCAGGTCTTGTTCCCAAGGGAGCATAAGGAAAATGAAAAACAGCTGGCTCAGGATGGATGCAGCAAGAGGTTTCAAGGACAAAAGAAATAAATGAAAACAACAGGAAGCTTCAGGAGTTGAGTCAGAGAGGAGCCGATGGGGCTATCTCTAAAAGAAGCAAGGACTAGGTCAGCACCACTCACCCTCTTGGAGTTGATTGTGTTTTTCTGCAAAGACAAGGTGGAACCAGCCAGGTTTCTTACAGCTGAAGGATTTGCCATGGGATAGTATCAGCTTGCTTTCCAGGAAGCGGTGATAGAGGAGTTCTTCTTCTTCAAATGTAGCTGGGTAGTAAAGGTACTAGAAAGAACAGAGGCATGGAGATAGCAAACATGAGACCCAAGTCAGCAGGTCTTTCTAAGAATACTGTGTGCTTATTCCTAGAGCTTACATCTTTCAGGTTGATCCACACAGAGAGGCCAGAGCTACAAGGGAGAAATGGGATCTCCAGTGCCTCTAGCTTGCTAGTGACATACTTGTGAGCTTCCCGCAGCCGGGAGTGGTTAGTGGGCAGGTACACCTCATCAATCCATCCTGAATAGGAGGAGAAAGAGCTGTCACAGGTCTTGTGGCAGAAATCTACCACAAAGCTGGGCTTTATACAACTTATTTCTATCCAAGACTATTATTTGTGTGGGTAGCTTTGACCGCCACCTTATCTAGGGCTATGGAAAGTAAGAAGGGCTTCAATAGGCCAATAGGAGACGTTTTCTTCATGTTCATGCCTCCCAGGTAGAGAGTTTGGGTATCCCATGAAGGCAGAGATGCTGCTGCTTCAACTGGGCAAGTTAACAGGAACTCAAAACCTCCCTGACACCCAACTTTGAGCTCCACATGATGGACTTGGGAGGAACTTAGATATACTTCTAGCTCAATTTCTGTCAGCCTTGGTAGTACAAAAGAATAACCTGGGGACTTGTGAGTTGCCCTGATGCTCAGGATATGCCTCTTGGTCATCTAATTTAGATCTTTGAGGATAGAGTCTACATATCAGTACTGAAGCAATTAAATGATTCTCAGGTTCACCCAAGGGTGAAAACTAGGGCTCAAAAGCTTAGATCTGATTTTTGCCAAGTATCAAAGAACCTGGTGTCAGGTAGAGATGCGTCCAATTGGTTTTTTCTAATCTACCACCCTCCCTATTCAGAGCTGGAAGCAAACTGCTTGCTAAACCCAGTAATCCAATGTCAGTAGTTTGTTTCATTCATTAGTTTTTTGTTGTATCCCAGTTATTGTCTTAAGCCTTCCAATGTGGCATCTATTATAGGAAATTTTGCCTATTGCATGAAAGGAGTGAAGTCTCCTCTGAGGCCAGCACTTCACTTAAGGTCCAAAATGACAAAGTGCTATAGACTTAAGCACAATAGTCAGTTCTTCTCTAGCTACCTTAGAAAATGAGATTGCACTTAATTAAAACAGCGTTTCTTTGAAATCCTTGTCGGAGGCAAGCAGGGTACTGGTGAAGGAAAGAAGATATTCACATCAAGACTGGTGTCTGAAGTTCTTATTTTCAGGTCTTGAAAGTATGGTTGACTCTCCTCTTTCCAAGCAGAGCAAAGTCAGAGAATTAAAGTAGCTGAACTGTACCCCTGCCCTCATTGCCTCATTCCCTACCTTAGTTAAAACTGACACTCTTAACAGAGTACTAGGGGCATACTAGAGGCCCAAGGAAACCTAGGAATTCCCAACGGCCATGAGGTCCAGCCAAGATGCCATTCTGGGGTGTTGCTCAATACCTCTGTCCTGGAGTAATCGGCCTAGTTTGTATTGCGTAATGCCAGAGACACCATGGAGGCAGCCAAAGGAGCGCATGGCAGAGGCCACAAGACTATTGTGGGTGTACAGAGCACTAAGACAGAAGCCAGCGATGCCGAAATCCTGGAGGAAGAGAACGGGGGGGAACCTTTGGCTTGTTGTCCTCTATTTTTGGATTCTCTTTTTTCCAGACTTGAGGGCAGGCAGCTGGGACTCACCAAACTGGCATCCCAGATCACATGGGTCCTTTCAGGGTCAGGCAAACTGCAGAAAGGACAGAAAAAACCAAGGTTATGGAGAACTATTTGAAGGATTGAGATTTGGAATCTATGAGTGACAAGCAAGTGATCTTGAAGTCTTTCCTAGATAGCAAGGCCTAAGGAACCCAACGATCAAGAAAATGTTGCCTCAGCTATGCCAGAAAGGCATAGCTGATGTACTAGGAGGAATGTTTCCCAAGTGTCCACCAAAGAGGTGCTTACTTGTGGCTTCTCCCTTCCCCCACCATACCTGGTCTATATGAAGCCACCTTAGCAGTTGCCTCTTCAGATGTGAGCATCCTACTACTTCTAGAATGTGCTTGCCTGCCTCTTTCTGCCATTCCTTTGGTGAAGCTGTTCCTTCCACTAAAAAAGCCCTTTCCTTGCCTTGCTGGAATTCTACCTCTACAGTCCAATACTACCATTAAGAAAGTTCCAGCCAGGAGGAGTGGCACACATCTGTCATCCCCAAATTGGGAGGCAGAGTTTGAGTCTAGCCTGGGCTCCATAAAGAGATCCCTTCTCACAATGAAAAAGTTCCCACCCTGACCTGATGCAGTGTCCCTTGACCTTGTCCTCAAGTTTGCTTCTGTACAGAATGGCACATAGATGAGAAGATAGTCAGGAGGAAAGATGCTGCTTTGTTCATGTGCATAACCCCTATTGGCACTTAATTCACTCCCCAGCACTGCCTGTGAGGCTGAAGCCTCATGAACTCACCCTGCAAGCCAGGAGCCTCATGCTTCTCATGCTCAATTCCAGCCCAGTTGCACTCACCTTGTTAGGCTCAGCACACTGTGGAATGTGAGGTCTTCACCGAACACGGACAGCATGCAACTCTCATCTATGATCACATGGAGGCTATGTCTGTAGTTGGAGGAGAGGGGAGAATACAAGCTAGCTTCACCTTAGAATCTTAATTCATTTCCTATCATCTTCCTCTCTGGATACAGATCAGATACTCTGATGCCCCAGCCACACCCCCTCCAAGGGGCACTGTCTGGTAGAAGGTAGGATACTAGAAGGGATCATTGCATCTGGCTTGGAGGGAACAAGACCAAAAGACACACATTGATAGTATCTCATCCAAGCTTTCAGCCATCAAGCAGAAACCAATGTCTCCATTTGTTCATGTCCTACCCACAGTCTGAATTGAGTAGTTCTATACATGGGCCTCATGCACACACAACCCATCTCACCTATTCTCCCAACAGTCCCCTGAAAAGGTATCACCATCCCATTTCAAAAATGGGAGAAACTCATGTTCCCCATTTAAAGTCAATCCCTTCAACTAGCAAATGCTACAGATGATATCTGAACACAGCGATTGGATTCTTGACCAGAGCCTCCACCATTATTTCTCCTGCACCTATGTTTCACTCTATTCATTGGTCTGGGTTAGTTCTGTGGTTTGCATTAAGTATCTCATTTAGAAAACAGAAGAATGTCTCCCCTACATAGTTGGGTTATTTCAGGACTCCAGAGGCAATCAAACTTAACATGTTCTTAGAAGAAGACATGAAGTCCTATATGAACACATGCTTATCACACAAGGTCAAAATGGATGCTGGAAGAAAGGGGCTTATGCTGTAATAAGTAGAAAAGCAACAATCACTATTTTTTGTTCCTATGTAAATAACTAAGGTAAAAGGCTAGAAAGGAAATGACAAAAAAGTGGAAATGTGCAAACATATGGATGCTTTCCCCTTCATATCATTTATTTATAGGCAGCTCTACAAAGACCATGTGTAAGCATACTGGGTAAATGACCTCTAGTTCTGACCTCACCACTACCAGTGACAAGAAACCTTCTTAGAGACACCATGCAGTGTCGCGGAGTGGGACACATACTTCTCGGCAAAGGACAAGCATTCCATCAATGAGTATTGGGAATCGATACCAGCCAGAGAATTCTGAGGGTTGGTTAGTACAATACCGCGGATGATTTTTCCCTAGGAAGAACCCAAACACAAGAAAAACATTCAAATCCTTGGTATCTACCCCAAATTCAGCCAAGAATCTTTTACAAGACTCCAATATACAGATAGGCCACTGCTGTGTGAGCAGAGAGCAGATCTGGGGCAGGGCTGCCATGGCTCTGAGCAGGATGTACTCTGGAAACATTTACTGTTTTTTCTTTCTCAAGTGCCCAGTAGTTTGTTTTTTTTTGCCGGGGCGGGGGGCGGGGGGAGCTGATTGTGGGGCCTGAACTCTGGGCCTGGGCGCTGTCCCTCAGCTCTTCAGCTCAAGGCTAGCACTCTACCACTTGAGCCACAGCGCCACTTCCGGCTTTTTTCTTTTTGCTTATAGGTGCTAAGAAATCGAACCCAGGGCCTCAGGCATGCAAGGCAAGCGCTCTACCACTGAGCCACCTTCCCAGCCCCCTCACTAGGTCTTTTATCAGTACCTGACCCCTTTCAAGGCCAGCAATAGCTACCCTGAAAATACAGTTCTCCCCTTACCTTAACCCTAGCGTCAAGCAACATCACCTCCAACTTATCTACAGTGATCTGGAGAACATGGGCCTTTTCAGAAGTGACCTGGAAGAGAAACACTATTGAATGATGGCTAGATGAAAGTCCATGAGCCAGCTGGGCACTGGTGGCTCATACCTATATGTCTAGCTACTCAGAAACCCAAGATTTGAGGATTGCAGTTCAGAGTCAACTCAAGCAGGAAAAGCTGTGAGACTCTTATCTCCAGTTAACCACCAGAAAACTCAAAGAGGAGCAGTGGTTCAAAGCGATAGAGTATTAGCCTTGAGCAAAAAGAGCTCAGGGACAATGCTCAGGACCCAAGTTCAAGACCCATGACCAAAAAAAAAAAGTCCATGAGTCTTAATTTCTCATCCCTATAATCCCTGGGCCTTCATATTAGGGTTTAGGGCCCATATGGCTTCTTCATCCCCATGTCTCCACCCCCGTCCCCCCGTCTTTTTTGCATCAACTGCCTAGGTAGACTGAACAGGAAAGGGATCCATTCTGACCTTGGTCTCCAGGTAGACAGGAATCAACTCGACTTTTGCAAACAGATGAGAGCTAAAGGTGAAGCCACCATAGAAGGGAACTGGGACTAGAAAGGCCTCTGCAAGCACAGAAAGACAATGCCCTCAGCCCAAGCTCCCTCCCTCAGAACCTGCCTGCCCCCCAGACTGACAACAAAACGACCAACAGACGAGGTCAGTTATATGACCCCCCTCCCCCACTACCACAGGACTAGTGTGCTTGGAATTGGGCTCCATTCTTACAGATGCTGGGAAACAGTATCTAGTTCCAAAGAACACATTCTCGCTTCAGTGGAAGGGTACACTGGAGAAGAGGACAGACCGCTGCTGTGACTATTAGTCCAGGACACCGATCAAGCTAAGCTTGCTAGGAGATGGAGCATTTGTCATTAAGGAAATCTTGTTAGCTTCAGGCCAAAACTCTGGAGGCCAAGGGGAAGGGCTCCTATGATTTAGATGTGAGGAGGGGGCAGGTATGTCCTACATTCCTTCCTTTCCATCCATTCAGCCTGATGTATGGGCTAACCAGGGGCCTAATCTTTTCAGCCTGGTCACTTCCTTCACAGAACCAGAGCTCTTGCTTAGGCAATGTTCAGTGATTGAGAACAGATCACTCAGCTTTACATGACTCCAAATGAATTAAATTATTTCATTTTTTTTGAAGAGGCAGGAAACCTGTTATTTCTCTCTAAATATATAGGGCTCTACATTTCAGTTGGGCCCAAGAGCTCAGCTACTCACATAATAATTTGGCTCTCATGCCATCATTCCTAGGACATACCTCCCTGGGGAAGTGTCCCATTAAATGAGGAATCTAAATCCCTTGCTTCTCCAGAAATCATTTCAAATGTCCTAATGCAAAAGGGCCCACATCCCTCAAGGGAGGGCTGGAGTGAAGACACTTCACCAAGGGCTCCTGCCTGGGTTGTTCCTGCCCAGTACTTCACTGTCAGGGAAGGCCCCGTCTACCGACTTACCCCCTGGATCACTCAGAACCATGGTCAGTGCAGAGAAGACAGAGGAGCAGCTATTGAGGACAACCACCTGAGGACAATGAAGAGACAAGTCAAAATCCAGTGCCTGTGGATGGAACTGTGGCCACACTCCCTCCCTCCCTCCTTTCCTTCCTTCCTGCAGGGAAGAGGTAGATACCAGGACCCTGTCCTGATCTTGCAGGTCTCCACTAGCTCTCCCTGTATTCACTAGCTAATGCAGAAGGTCCCCCCCCCCCCCCCCAAGGAGACAGCTCTCACAGGCCTGACTCACATTTTCTGGATCTAGGCGAGAAGGTGCCTTGCAGTAGTAGGTGAGGAAACGAGCCACTTCTTCCCGAAGGCTGTGGACAGATCCAGACAAACCTTGTGGTTCCTTGTTCAGGGTTGAGATGCCAAGTATGTTCCAAAGAACACAGTGTGCAATCTAACAAGGACCTTGACCACTCCATCCAACCGGATTGTATGGGGCTACAGACTAAGGCTGTCGACTCGCCAGGTCAGACAGACAAGAGGTGAAGAGGTGGGGCAAGACCCATGCTTTTTTGTTGTGGTTGTCAGTCATGGGGCTTGAACTCTGGGCCTGGGCGCTGTCCCTCAGCTCGTCAGCTCAGGGCTAGCGCTCTACCACTTAAGCCACATTGTTATTTCCAGCTTTTTCTGCTTATCGAACCCAGGGCCTCATGCATGCAAGGCAAGCACTCTACTACTGAGCTACCTTCCCAGCCCAGCAATACTATTTTTAACCAGACCAAGATGCTTCCTGATGAGGAGCTATTCTGGCCATTTTCTACAAGTTTTATTTTCCCTAGCACAAATGAAAACACGGACAGCCAGGAGCTGGTAACTCACGCCTGTAATACTAGCTACTCAGGAGGCTGAGATCTAAGGATCACTGTTCAAAGCCAGCCCGGGCAGGAAAGTCTGTGAGACTCTTATCTCCAATAAACCACCAGAAAACGAAAGTGGCACTATGGATCAAGTAGTAGAGCGCTGGCCTTTAGCTGAAGAGCTGAGGGACCTCGCCCAGGCCCCAGAGTTCAAGCCCCACAACCAACAAAAAAAAAAAAAAGAAGAAGAAGAAAGAAAGAAAGAAAGAAAGAAAGGAGGGAAGGAAGGAAGGAAGGAAGGAAGAAAGAAAGAAAGAAAGAAAGAAAGAAAGAAAGAAAGAAAGAAGGAAAGAAAGAAAGGAGGGAAGGAAGGAAGGAAGGAAGGAAGGAAGGAAGGAAGGAAGGAAGGAAGGAAGGAAGGAAGGAAGGAAGAAAGAAAGAAAGAAAAGAAAAAAGAAAACACAGCCAACCAAAGATATAAGGTATTAAATGCCATTCTGGTGCCTGGAGACCAAGAAACCCTTGATCTGATGGTCACTTACAACAGTTGGCCTCTGTCCTCGGGGTACTGTAGCTGGTCTTCCTTGATGGAGTTCATGTCACTCTGACATAACTGTGTAAAAGAAAAAAACAACAAAACAGTAGTTGGGCATTGGTGGCTCACACCTATAATCCTAGCTACTCAGGAGGCTGAGATCTGAGGATCATGGTTCAAAGCCAGCCCAGGTAGGAAAATATGTGAGATTCTTTTTTTTTTTTTGGGTCCGGTCATGGGGCCTGAACTCTGGGGCCTGGGCGCTGTCCCTCAGCTCTTCAGCTCTACCACTTGAGCCACAGTGCCACTTCTGGCTTTTTTCTTATGTGGTGCTGAGGAATCGAACCCAGGGCCTTGAGCATGCAAGGCAAGTGCTCTACCACTGAGCCACCTTCCCAGCCCCATATGTGAGATTCTTATCTCCAATTAACCACCAAAAGGTTGGAAGTGGAGCTGTGGCTCAAGTGGTAAGTAGAATGCCAGCCTTGAGCACAAAAGCTCAAGGACAGTGTCCAGGCCCTGAATTCAAGCCCAAGGGCCAACACACACACACACACAAACACACACACAAACACACACACACAAACACACACACACAAACACACACACACAAACACACACACACACACACAGCATGAACATGTAGTTCCAGGAAGCCCAAGAGACTTCATTCTACACAGGTTGTACACTGATATTTGACTTGTACTTCATGACCTCCCAGAAGGGAGGTTAAGTATATAGTCTGTGTACTCCTTATTGGATGCATGCCTCTCCTCTTCTTGTCATAGATTACACCAACATATGCCTCACTGGGAAGTATGTAACAACCCAATGCTCCCACAGCAGCCTGCCTACTCTCCCCAGCAGAGCACACAGTCAGCCAGGCCAAGAGGAGAGGTGTGCTATGCTGGAGGTCATCTCTCCACATCTTTCTCCACACTCTTACATTCTTATGTACCTACCATATACTGAACAATGTGGGGGTGAGGGCTAGGCCTTTTTTGAAAAGGCCAATTCCAGCACACCCCAGAAACCAACTTACCCTTTCAGTCATCAGATCAAGGCAGAGCTTGTTCTCGATGGTGCCAAGGTTAAGGAAGCCCTGCAGTGGGAGAAATCCAAGGTCAGTCCTCTTGCTCCCCTTCAGGCCCTTTTAGATATGCCAATAAGAGTACATCTCAGATTTAGTCCAAGGAAAGATACTATTGCCACAGAGGGCAATGCATGCTTAGCCACATGAAGTGGTAGAAAATTTTTCCAAGAATTTATAGCTTAAAAGAATTTCCCCATTTAAGTATATAATTATATAAATACAAAAATTATATTAAGTCTCATCAGAAGTCACCGAGTTCTTAGGACAGATGCTAGATTAAGTGCTTTAGGGGAGTTGCTTTAAGTCCTGAAAAAAAAAAAAAAGTTCTATATATGATTAAAGAGTGAAAATGAAGCTGGGCACTGGTGGCTCATGCCTGTAATTCTAGCTACTCAGGAGGCTGAGATCTGAGGATCGAAGTTCAAAGCCAGCCCGGGCAGGAAAGTCTGTGAAACTCTTATTGCCAATAAACCACTCAGAAAACTGGAAGTCACACTATGGCTCAAGTGATAGAGTGTTAGCCTTGAGCTGAAGAGCTGAGGGATAGCACTCAGGCCCAGAGTTCAAACCCCATGACTGACTTTAAAATAAGAGCTGGGATTTAAGGAAAAGACCCCAAATTTCCAACTGTCTGGGGCATCTAGTCCTATATCTGTGCTGTGTCCTCACTTCAAGAGGGCCACAGTGCTCATCACACACACGTGATGAATTAAGAAGTATGCAGTACCTGACATAGGGTAATCTCAGTTATTGGAACTGTCAGGGTTGCTCTCCTTTCCCTCCCTCCACACCCCAATCTTACCAAGGGGTTCTTGTCCTCATGGTATTTGTCTTTTGGGTATGCCTCGTAGCCCTGGAACATCGAGAGGCAAGAGTCTAAGAGAGCACTCCCACGTTTGGATAAGAAGTGGTTGATAACTGTAACTTTAAAATCACTCTGCCTATGTGTGACATCACCTCCAAAGATGACAGGAGGCAAATTCTTGAAGCCCAGGAAAGGGACAGATTTATCCCACAGGAAGTTGACAGTCTTGGACATCCAGTGGCTTATATTTTCTCTCTGCTTATCGATGGCTTCCAAGCAACTCTTTTCCTTCAGTGACCGACCCTGTAACTCTAGGGTTTTCAACATCATGAAATGTTCATCTGTGGCAATCTGTGTACTGCTCATCAAATCGAACAGCTCTGAGAACATCTGGCTAATGGTGAACCAATCATGTGAGCAGGAGTTATCTGGTTTGGCCTTAGCAGGCTGGCTGGAACCTGCAGAGAAAGACAATGCACTGGAACAAAAAAAGTCTTCTGATACTCAGGCCCAGGCATGACTGGGTACAGAACTGATCTCAAGCTCATTGCTGGCTCCTTCCATCTCGCTGCTTTCATTTCAGGTTCTGGACATGATCTAGTCATTCAGAGTGATGCACTCTACTTCAATGACATCAGAACATGTTCTGAGGAAAAGCCATAGGGCTCTCTATCGGGAAAGGGGGAACTCAACACGTTTCTGGGTTCTCTATGCTAGCCTTCAACTAGAGCCTGCTTTATCAAATTCTTCCAAGGGGGGAAAAATGGAGGAGGTTAGGAGGGGCATTCTACTGTTTGAAAATACTAAGTCATTCTGCTACAACAAAGGTCAAAAAGAGCCCAGTAAGGGCTCATACCTGTAATCCTAGTTACGCAGGATGCTGAAATCTGAGGATTGCAGTTCAAAGCCAGTCAGTACAGAAATGTCTATGAGACCCTTATCCCCAATTAATTACCAAAAAGCCAGAAGTCCAGCTGTGATGCAAATGGTGGAATACGTCTTGAGCATAAAAGCTAAGGGACAACAGTCCCAGTACCAGTGGGAGCGCGAGCGTGCACGCGTGCGCACACACTCCCACGGCCTTTCGCCATTTTTGTAGCTAATTTTTCCTACACAGCCATGTTTATGTAGGTATTGATTATGGCTGCATTTGCAAATTGGCAGAAGAGTGATGATAATTGTAATGGCCTACAGAAAAACTTCAGCTATTTCCTGTCTGGTCCTTTACAGAAAGGTTTCCCAGCCCATGTTCTAGAATATCAACCCTCCATTCCTATCTGCACCCCGCTTCAGATTAGCAATCCCAGATACTCAGTCTCCCCCTCCTATCCCACATGGCTTCCTTAAGTGCCTGCAGCCCGTTCACCGTGGCAGCTGCCTTCAGCTTCACTCATAGTAACTGCAGATTAAGTACATGCTTTTCAAACTTTAAGCCCATCAGAATCACCTGGCCAGGGGTGAGGGTGGGGCGGGGTGGTAGACTATAGATGGTAAAGTCAAACCCATGGACTTGGGTTTAGTATGTTTGGGGTAAGAACTAAGAAATGTTACAAAGATCTTCCTTCTCCAATGTTAGGAACATACTGTTGAGAAAGAAACAAAGGGAGTAGGTCTTATTTTTGTGTGTTTGTACCAGGACTTCAACTCAAGGCCTTATGTTCTTTTTTTTTTTGGTCCGGTCATGGGGCCTGAACTCTGGGCCTGGGCGCTGTCCCTCAGCTCTTCAGCTCAAGGCTAGCGCTCTACCACTTGAGCCACAGCACCACTTCCGGCTTTTTTCTTTTTTTTGCTTATGTGGTGCTGAGGAATCGAACCCAGGGCCTCATGCATGCAAGGCAAGTGCTCTACCACTGAGCCACCTTCCCAGCCCCATGGCCTCATGTTCTTGCTTGGCTTTTTCTGTTTTACCACTTAAGCCACAGCTCCAGTTCTAGCCCTTTTGTTCCCTGCTAGTTAATTGGAGATAAGAACCTCACAGATTCTCCTACCCAGGCTGGCTTCAAACCTCAATCCACAGCTTTCAGCCTTCTGAGTAGGTAGGCATGACCCACTCGCACCAGTTTAAATGAGTGTGTAAGTTCAGATTAACCCTTTGTTCCACAAGCAAAAGCTCCACTTTGGCCCAATTCTGTCTACTACAAGTTAAGAGGCTGCTTTTTGGTTCAGCTCAGAAGACAGAGGGATCACACTGTCCTAAGGGAACTTAAATACTGTGATAAGGGAGGCCAAGGAGCCAGGTAGGGTTCCTTTGATTCTGACTCCCAAAGTTGGACCCTGATCAAACCCACTGGGCCTGAGGAGAGCTAGTGAGAAGGGCTAAGATGGCAGTGTAAGATGCTCACAGCATGGAAGAAGCTCCCATCATGCCAGGACACAGGACCTTCACAACAGAGGTCAAAGATGGAACAACTTCTGGGACAGTCCCCTCACATCAGCCTGAAGCCCTAGAACTTCAACAGTTAATCCTGTTGAGGCTGGAGCAAAGGCTCTCTGACTTGTCATGGAAACCCTCCCTATTACCATCATCTACCTCATCCAAGTGGGCTAGCTGTAGACCCCATCTCCATTTTTACCATTTCCTCAAAGCTTAGCCTTGTCTTTGGGATCCATGAGTCTCCTAAGTCCATCAGTGATCACTGTCACTGGAGCCCAGGAACCCCAAGTGATGTTTGGCCTACCGCTTCTGGTTCCACATGCTGTAGCTTGTGCCCCCTCCCCTCCACATTTACCTTTGTGTCCCTCTTCACTCATCCTTTCTCCAGCCTAAAATCCTCTCACCAATGAAGGTTTCTTGCCAGTCAGCACGCAGACGTGATCCACAGCTCTCCTCTTCTCACTTAGCTTGCTTGCCTTTTGATCTGGAAAGTCTGTTTTTAAACACTTGGCTTCAAGAGTATTAACAAGAATCACCTTTTTCCTCTAGGGAACTCTTCCCAGGACCTCCTTATTAACCTAAAGCAGCCTTTCTTTATGCCATTGCAGAGAACTGGCTTGGTAAGAATCATATTAGGGCCACAGGTCTCAAATTTAAAGAGCATTGGCAATACCTGGAGAGCTTATAAAATGCCAGGGCTCAGACTATTTAAAGGGTCTGGGTCTGTGTGTGTTAGGAAGGTCCAGATGTGTGAGTGGCTGGGTGGATGGATAAGTGGCTGGGTGGGTGAATACCACAATGCAATCATCTAAGGCTTGCGTTCTCCTCTGGTCTGTAGGCTTAACTCTGGTCTATGCCTCCCATAGTTCCAAGGCAAAGACATGGCTCTTGAATAATGTTTGTTGATACCTGTTTGTAACTCATATTGACTAGTGACCAAAAAATGAGACAAGAATATCAACAAATCGTAGGCACTTGGTGAATGTTAACCACATAATGAAGATTTTCCCCTCATCTTCCACAGCCTCCCTCACTTCCCACTACTTGCTCCCACATGGGTTTGTGGACAATCCTTCCAAACAAGGCTGCTTTACCACAGATTGACCCACAGAGGGCACTAAACCCTTATATTTTTTTCACCTGGGGAAATGCCTTTTGGAGCTGTGGTTTACCCAAATGTTCTCAGATCTCAGCATTCAGACCTGACCCAAAAGGTCTTGGGACACCCCCCCCCCAAAAAAAAAAAAGAGGATGAAGTCTTTATTCCCTTTAGTAGATGGGAGCTATATAAACACATAGGAGGCTCAAAGTAGGTGCCTTTTTGTTGACTTGTTTATAGTGTTTACATGGGAAAACAGATCCCAAAAGCAACTCTGTATTTCCAGGGAGGTTTTAACCCAATCTGTGTCCTGTTGGACAACAAAGAGGATCAATGTATCATTATTCGTTCATTTGACACATCTTTATGGAGCAATTGCCATGTGCTAAACACTAGTCTCGGTGGGGGCAAAATAGACACAGCCTTGGTTCAGCTTTCCAGTTGCAGGGACTACACACATGCACCACAGCACCCAGCAGGACTTGCACTTTTGTTCTGACAGTGGTAAAAAAAAAAAAAAGATGGCAAACGTCATCTAGACCTGTCCTATGACAGAGAAACGCATATGAGTTACTCTCACTGCCCTATGGAGCTAGCTGGGCTGGCCAGCCAGCCAGTCGGGATGTGTGAGATACATTCCTCGGGTCTCTTGGCAGAGTACAACCCTGGCCCCAAGCCTTAGCATCTAAGAATTCATCTGGGCTTCCCCATTCCCCAGGACAGAATTCTCATCTGTGGGACATACTGGAGTCCCTGAGAAAGGGACAATTGTCATAATGCCAAGTCTCACTGCCCTGGCCCTTGGGGTAGGAGAGACTGCAGATGGGCCTGTGGAGGGGGGAGGTTGTCTCTCCCTATCCTATTTTTTTTTTTTTTGCCAGTCCTGGGGCTTGAACTCAGGACCTGGACATTGTCCCTGGACTTCAATGCTCAAGGCTGGCACTCTACCATTTTACCCACAGCCCCACTTCCAGCTTTTTGTGGTCTCATGGACTTTTCTACCCAGGTGGGCTTTGAACCTTGATCCTCAGCTCTCAGCCTCCTGAATAGCTTAGGGCCCCACCCTAAATTTTATCTGTTCATTTGCTGGAGTAATAAGTAAGGACTGTAGCTTTTATTAGCTGTCCCCAGGGTTTGAGAATCCAATTCCAAAGCAATGAAAGAGGGACTGCCCCAGAAAGCGCAATCCTAGCCAGGACTAAATTCATGGCCGCGCCTCTCTCCTCTTCCTCCCCTCTCCAAGGCTCCAGATCCTGTCTGTGACTTTTTCCCCTCTTCGGCTCTGTCCTCCCTCTCAGTGCTCTGCCTAGATTTATTTCCATAGCAGCCCCTCCCCGCTTTCCGGCACTTAGCATGCAGCCAGCATCCAATACCTCTTCAAATATGAATAAGCTGTTCCCACTGTCAGCGCCGAGCTCAGCTTGGGAAGCCAGTCTTTCCCCTGAGCTCTTTCTCGCTGCTTCCTCCATATCCCCACAGGCCTCTTGATTCCACTATCAAAGAGGAGTCTGTTCTAGCCACCCATTTCTGCCATGCCCAGGGTTTGGGGCACAAAGAAGAGGGGTTTGTTTCTTTATCCATTGAGGCTATCTCTTCATCAGCTACACTTCAAAGCCAAAGGGTCCCCTGAGGAACCTGGGGGGCCTGGAGGGAGACCAAATGACCTCAGTCCTGGGCATCCTGGTGTGAAGAGCAGCAGGTGTCCTGGTTTCCTGGCTTTAGCAGACATGGACCTCCTCTCTGCTCATCCTCTGGGCTTTCTTACCAGTGATCTGTCTCTCAATGGAGGGTAGTATGATGGGTCCAAGAATCTAGGCCTAGGGTCTCAGCTTGAACAAGTCTCAGCCACTTACGAGCTGTGCCGGGGGAGGGGGGAGGGGGAGGAGATTAAGAGATGATGTGAAGCAGTGGCTAGAAAATTGATCCCCCCCACCCACCCCCCACCCCCGCTCACTTCCCATCACTTTTCCTTGAGCCCTACTCAGCAATGTACTCCCTAGTCTCCTGAGATGGAAGTCATAACAAAGAACATTCTAGAAAAAAAAAAAAACCCTTCTGACTGATCTCAGGAGGCCAGAGCTCCAAGGAGAAGCCTCTACCTTATGTCTCCCTCAGGAGCTTCTGGGTGATGAGAAGTTGAAAGTTTCCACAGGACTTCTACCCTCCTTCCCCTCACTGCCATCAGGCCATGTTTGTGGGTTCTTTGCCCCCCCAGAAGCCTCTTGACAGGAGGTCTCAGCCTTGTCCGCAGAGAGGCCACCATTGACCTATCACCTTCTCTTGACCTAAGTCTTTCCTGGACCCAGACTCTGTGAAGCCAGTCTTCACCATTCCTTTCTTCCTAGGAGTTCATGGGTGGGACAGGGCCCCTATATATCTCCCTGGTCCTCCATCCCACTCTGCTCTGCCATGTTCTTCCCAGAGCTGGAAAGAGCTGCCCTAGCATCCAGTCCCCTTCCGAGAGCAATCGCACTGTGCCAGCTGCTGTGCGCTGGGCACAAATGCTGATGGATGTACACCAAACTTGCAGAGTACTAAGCACTTAGCACTTCACTTCTGTCCCACATCCTGGAAGGCTGGTGCTCCACAGTTTCAGGTCTAGATTCTGGCACTTGTGTTCTTGCACAGTGACTGGGGATGTGGCGGTGGGACCTGCTTGTGAATGGTGGGTCTTTAGCAAGTGCCATTTGGGCTGAGGGCAGGGGGGTTGCTCTCTTGAATGCTTGCCACTCAAGATGGAGTCAAGCCTTGAATGCACTGATGGAAATCACCCCAGCAAGGCAAGTGAAGCAGAAGTGAGCTACAACAAGCCAGTGTAGTCATCAGCCACTAGATTTGAGGTTGCTGGGTCACCTAGCTATAGATGTTGAATGGGAGCCTCAGTGCTTGCTTGACTTTCCCAAGGTTTTTACCTGGGAAGCCAATGTGGTGGTCATGAATACGTGCAGCCTGGGCCTGGAGGGAGCTGAACTGACTAGCCATCTAGCCCGGCCACACTTCCCCGGGTTATCCTTCAGCAATGGAGGACCATGAGGATGAGATATCCCCATGGGCTTGGCTTCTTTCTTCTCTCTGGGAGGGGGTTTCACCCAGTCTAAAGGTTCTCCCCACTTCCTCTGCTCCCTCCTTTCTGTCCTCCTCACTCACTAAACCGTGCATTTCCTGCCGCATCTGGTGAGAAGGCTGAGACTCTCCTAGATTCCTTTATTGCCCTCCAGGTACTTATCTTCCTGGGAGACACATCGCTGGCGTCTGGACCCAGGGAGTTCTAAAGCCACAGGAAAGGAAGGCTCGCAAGGCAAAGCAAAGCAGGTACAGAAGCACCCTCACCATGGCCAGGTGGCTGAGAGGGCCACGGCAGGCGGCCATGTGACATGCCAGCACGTCTTCGCTGCCTCATGACTCTTGCACCCATGACCATGGAATGGGTCCTCTCACACACCCGTAGACAAGTGTCCCATGTCATAGCAAGGGACCTCAGAGAGATGACACCGCTGGCCCTGAGCCACACACGGACTGGACTGAGACTGAGGCCCAAGGGAAAATGAAGTCGTCAGTGCTTTCCAAGCCCAGGGCATAAATCCCTCTTCTGTTGTGGGGTCTCGATGACAAATGACTCACGTAGCCCCTCGGAGTCTCAGTATTTCCCCCATGTGTGAAAACAGGATCGTGGTGGTCTCTGTCCTGGGAGCCCTGTAAGTGTGGCACAGGGAGTCTGTGTAAAAAGTTGTTGGATCCATGCTAGCTGTGACCCCCCCCCCCCCCCCCCCCCCCCCCCCCGCTCCAGCCAGATCCTTTTTCCTTCTCACCAAGTTGATGATAAGCATTTAGAAAAAGCTCACATCATGGGCTGATCAGCAATTGCGTAAGAGTATATATGCAGGCCTGCTTGGTAATTCACACACACACACACACACACACTCACACACCAGCAACTAAAACCCTGATAAATTAGCAAGGGACCCACAAAAAATCAAATTAAACCAGAACCATAAAATAAAACTATAAATAAATAAATAAAAAATCCCCCGGATTCTTTCCCCATGAGGGGAGGTTTTCCACAGGGACCCAGCCTTGAGCCTTGGCTCATTTCTCCTTGAGAACGCTCCTAGGATAAAAATAGCCAGACAGCAGGCAGCTCTTCTGCTTGAAGTGAGGGGAGGGCTGGGGAGAATGTGTTCCACGCTTTGCTGACCCCTCCTCTCCCCTCCCCCTTGTCCCTGTAAAACAGGAAGGAGGGCATGCTTCTGCCACCTGGTGTCTGAGGATGGAAGAGGAGGGTCCAGGAAGAGGAGGGCTTCCGGGTGAAGGGTAGGGACAAGTATTCAGATCAAGGACCCCCCCTGGGAGATCTTCAGAAGCTGTGTTTGTGTTTCTCCATTGGGCCAGGGAGGGAGCAGGTGGCCAGAGCCAGAGAGAGGCAGCCCACCCTGTTCTCCGCAAGAGAGATTAGGAAGAGCCCCTTTAGTACTGAAAAAAATAAAGAAACGACAACAGCAAAAATCACAAGGCCCAGGGGACCCTGGTTTGACTGCTGGAATGTACCCATGGCAGTGAGTCACTTCTAAAAGGTTTGTGCTTGGTGGGGGCTGTCCCTAACTCTCCCAAACCTCAGCTTAGACCTTTGTGCTCCTTCCCAAGTGATTTCTTAGTCAGCCCACGAATAAATGACTCCTCTGGACGGCTACATCTCCAAGCTATCAGGTATATGTGTGAGCAGAACGAAGCCGGGGGTGGGGGGTGTTGCAGTGTCCTATGACCTTGGGGTCATAGACTCTCTTGAAATGGAATCTTCAAGATTGTCTAGACCTGACAGGGTATGGTGGCACATGCCCATGATCATCAGTACTCAGGAGATGAAAATAGGAGGATCGTAGTTTAAGGCCATTTTGGGCAAAAGCATGAGCCCCTCACCAGAAAACTAAACTAAAAAGGAAAAGGGATGAGGGTATGGCACAGGTGGTAAGTTGCCTGACTCAAATGCATAAGACTCTCAGTTCATACCCCAGTTGTAAAAAGAAAAATGGATTTTCTAATCCCTTTCCAAAGCATCAGTGTGTGTATGGAGCAGCCAAAGCAGCTTGTCCACCCAACACAAGTGTGGCATCCAGTAAGTAAGTGTGGCACCCAGGGCTACTTTGTGGCTTGTGCGGTCAGCCAGTGGTTTGGTCTAGTCAGAATTTCATTTATTTGCTCTCTAGGTACAATCTTGTGCCTACAGCATGCACCATTGCAGAGGTGTGTGTGTGTGTGTGTGTGTGTGTGTGTGTGTTTGAGGGTGGGAACCTGCCCCTAGATGTCAGATATACAGAGAGAGTCTCTGATGAGGTGACAGTGAGCACGGATCCGCAGGCAGTAGAGGCTGAGTTGTGAGGAAAACATTGCCTGTTGAGGAAACAGCAGGTGCAAAGGCCCAGAGGCTTCGCATGTTGAAAGACTAGCAGAAAGCTGAGTGGCTGGAGAGGAGCATTCAGTGATTGGAGAGGAACATTCAGTGATGAGATCAGAGACTGAACAGGAGCACCAGAGGGCTCCCAGGACTGTGGCTCTCTCCCAGCTTTGAACAGGAATTGATATGACTTAGATTTAAAAGAATCCCTCTGGGCTGGGAAGTTGGCTCAATGATAGAGTGCTTGCCTCGCATGCAGAAGGCCCTGGGTTCGATTCCTCAGCACCACATAAGCAGAAAAAAGCCGGGAGTGGTGCTGTGGCTCAAGTGGTAGAGTGTTAGCCTTGAGCTGAAGAGCTGAGGGACAGTGCCCAGGCCCAGAGTTCAAGCCCCACAACCAGCAAAGAAGAAAAAAAACCCTCTGATTTCAGTGTAGAAAAGATATTGTTGTAGAGATTAAGGTTGGGGCATCGCAAAATCCTCACAGAGAGGCGGTGATGGTGTGGTTTAGTGAGCATCATCAGAAGTGTCCAAAGTATGGGCAGCAGTCAAGCCCACGAGACCTGGTGCATAATTAGACATGAGGCAGAGAAGAGAGGCTTCAAGAATGATGCTGGGGCTGGTGTTAGTGGCTCACGCTTGTAATCCTAGCTACTTAGGAGGCCAAAATCTGATTCAATGCCATCCTGGGCAGGAAAGCCTGTGAGATACTTATTTCCAATTAACCACCAGAAAACCTGAAGTGGTGCTGTGGCAAGCACTAGCCTTGAGTGGACAAAGCTCAAAGATAGCACCCATGCTCTGAGTTCAGGCCCCATGACCACCACCAACAACAACCAAAGGAATGATTGCTGGGGGTGAAGTATGGTGATACACACCTGTAATCTAGCACTAAGAAGGCAGAAGCAGGGGATCATATGTTCAAGGACTACCTGAGTAACACAGGTTTGTTTGTGTCCAACAAAGCAACACCTGAGGATATAGCTCAATGGTACAGGGCACAAGGTCCTGAGTCCAATTCTTGGCACTACAGTGACTGCAAAGGTGTAGCCTAAACAACAAGAAAGAGATTGAGTCACCTTCCCAGTGAGGTGGTAAAACCATGGAAGGACTAAGTATGGAGAGCAGAGGAGACTGAGTGTATACCTCAGCTCAGAGCTCAGATCCTGTTCAAGGGACTCACCTATGCATATTGTATATCGTTGGTTGGTGTGCAACAATAATCACAGCACTCAGGAGGCTGAAGCAGGAACATCATGAGTTCAAGGCCAGCCTGGGCTGCAAGACACTATAGCAAAAAAAAAAAAAAAAAGCAAACAAATAGGAAACTAAACCCTTCATACAAATACTGCTTAAATGCTTTCATAGCTCTATTAGCTTGGGATTTGCAAACTATTCTTTCATCTATGATTCTACTTGATCCTCCTGACAGAAGTTAGAAGGTATTACTAATATTCTTATTTTATGGGGAAGCGAGTCTGCTCAATTCCCCAGTTGCTGCATCTGGGTAAGGGCTCTGGCACCACCCACTGCACTGACGTAGACTGAATGATGGCCACAGGGTGACCAGGCACAGGCCCTTGGGACATCTCTGAAGAACTTACTGCAGAGCTGAGCCATCCCACACAGCAGCCACTACACTCACACAGAGCTGCTACATTCAGATGTCGGTGGATCCCTATCACATATCATTACAAATTAATTATTCAGTATATTAGCCACATCTCAAGAGCTCAGCACAGCTGAGTATAGCTCTTGTACAGCACACATGTAGAATGTTTTCACTGTCACAGGAAGCTCTATTAGATGGTGCAGTGCACATAGTCATTCTGGGCTTCCACATCCTAACTCCCAATGCCAGAGCTGTCTGGGTAGAATGTGTGATGTCACACCAACTTCCATCATTCATTCTCAACTATTGTCCTGATAGCCTACCATATATATATGCCTGGTCCTAGGCATTATTAAATAAATGTTTAAAATCAGGTATATAAATATGGTCAAAGAAGTAAAGGAAGCCAAGATGGGTACCAGGGGCTTATGGCTGTAATGCTAGCTACTTGGGAAGCTGAGAATAAATAGGAGGATCATAGCTCTTGTGCAGAGAAGTCCATGCAACTCTATCTGAACAGAGGGATGGAGGGTGTGGGGACACAAATCCATCATCACTGTACATTCCTAGTAGGAAGCAAGATGTTATCTTAAAAATAACCAGCAAAAACAGGTCTGGAGGCAGGGCTCAGCTGTAGAGTACCTGTCTAACAAGTGTGAGGACTTGAGTTCAAGCCCCAGTATCTCTAAAAAAAAAAAAGGAAAGGTAAAAGAAGTTAACTATACAGAATTAAAAGAAAACTTAGAACAAAACTTTATCGAACAGAGAATATTGACAATGAAATAGAATTTAAAAAGACAAACTGGAATCCTGAAGTTGAAAATCCAATAACTGAACTGGAAAGTTTATCAGAGGGACTCAACTTTAGATTTGAATAGACCAAAATAAAGAATCAGAGAACTTAAAGACAGGACAATTGAAAAAAGAAGAGAAATAAAGGGTCACAGACCTGTAGAACATCATTAAGTATGCTTATATATATCTATTAGAAAATGCCCATTTAACCTAAGAAAAGACAGTAATAGAGGAACACGGGATGAAAAAATGCCAAGATACTTAAGCAAAACATGACACTGCAAATCCTACCTTATCAGTAACTTCTGTCATGTAAATGAATTAAACCCTACAATCATCAAAAGGATGAAAAGTACAATCAAACTATATGTTTCCTACAAGAAGCATACTTTGCAAAAACAAATAGCTTCTAGGTGAAAAGATAGAAGATTTTCCATGCAGAGTGCCTCAAAGAGAGTTGGAGTGACTATATTCATATAAGATAAAATAGGCTCTATGACGAAACGGTTATTGGAGATAAAGGACATATAATGATAGGATAAATCTGTAATAGGCCCATAACAGATATATATATATATATTATATACACATATGTACCTAACCTAACAATGAGCGATGA